CCAGATGGTGTGACCATAAAAATACTTGCTGCTGGTGGAGTTGGTGTTGCTGAAATTGTTGCATTTGGGCTTGCATGGCCCGCATGCATTGCATCAAGTCATCAAGTTGGTTCTGGCTGGTCGCCAGAGGGACAACGGTTGGTTCGGCGAAGGCTGTCTCAATAGAGGGGGGAAGGGGAACACTCACAGGCACCACTGTTCGTGGCACATTTAGGCTAGGGATCCTGTCCGCCGAGAGGGGGACAGTGAACTGCTCGATGCATACAGTGGCGGGTTGAGGGTGTTCCCCTACAACATTCAGGTTGGCATTACGTCTACCACTGCCGGAGGAAGCCATGAATGCTGTCTTTGGAAGAGAGTTAAAGGTTGGGGGAGGCTTTTTGAAGCGTTTCCCACAGACGGTGCCAAATGATGATGCACGATCCGGTCGGTCTTAGCTATCGGTAACCTTGCCTCTGATGGAGCTAGAGATGCCTGAAACAATGAGGAAATAAGAGATTCCCGGGGAGGAACCCGGTGGGAATGCTCCGATGCTCAAGTTAGTACTCTTGAGAAGGCAAGGGAGAATGAGAGATTCTGAGACCAGAAGGCACAAAAAATTACTTACCTTTTCTTTGGAGGAAGAAGGCCTTTTATAACCACCTGGTGCACTCACTCCCAAGCTTCTGCCAGATCAGGTGTAACTGCCTCTGTGGGGGGCAGACATAACCGCCACTATCCTCTCTGTCAGGGCCGTCTCTGCAATAACTGAGATGGCGGTAGCAGGTGGTCGTTGGAGTGTGACTATCATCTGTCAGACTCTAACCAATCAGGTGCGTTGCCTCAGAGTACGAACCTCTGTCAGGTACGGTTATTCAGTCGTGCGACCTGGAGCCGAGGTGGTCTTGAGTTCGGATGAGAGTACGGCCCAGACTGTCTCGAGGTGGCGGGGTGTGGCTCGGACTGACCCGAGGTGGGCTAGTCCGGGCTTTGCCCCTCGCGGGTTTCCTTGCTAGCCTCGAGATTTATAGGGAGAGCCCGGGTTTCACCTCCCAGGAAGTGTGGGTTCCTTTTGGGGAGCTCGGGGCTTCCTTCGGGAGCTCGGGAAGCTCGGGCCTCTTCTTGGGATGTGGCTGTTGCTATGTCGCTGTGTCGAGTTGGCGCTCCTGCCAGGTCACACCCGATTTCTTCCACGTGTCGCACAGCCAAGGGGTCAGGCCAAATCTACCTCCATCATTAAGCATATATGGTTTTCTTATTGGTTTAATGGATAACTATGTGGAATTAAAAAATAAAAAATTCAAAAAAACATAAAATTAGGGATGAGAGTTTGAAGCAAGAAGAGGGCTGTTGACATGATAGGGCCAATTTTAATATATATAGATAGATAAGTAATTGATTAATTTATGTAATTTACTTATTAATCTAATTTTATTAAAATAAATTCGTATTCAGATCCTCTTTCCATCAATTTTGTACCAATGTGTCTTCCCATTCAAGGAAAGACACCTGTCCACAGGTCATGTTGATTTTTCGTCTAATGTAAAGTTAATGGAGTTGTTTCCTTTAAACAATTAGAACCAAAATATGAAAAAGAAAAAAAACCCAAATAAATGATGCTTCAATTATTTTTGTACTACTTTTTCTTTCTTTTCCCTATTTTTTCCTTCAAACCAAACATAGCCTTATTATCTGTTTTGTTTTCATCACTGGAAGGTCAAAACCCTTCTTTATCCCCTCGACCTAAATCGCTCACAACATTGTTATCTTCTCCCGTCATAATGATGGTTTATTTTTAATCTTTAATATATTAATTCTTTTTGGTTATTTGTGCTCCAAAGTTGATATACTGTAACTAAGGATGGAGATACCTTGGTGTTGTGCTTGGTGGCCTTTTAATTTATACAAAATGACGAAGTTGGTAACCTTTAATTTCTCAGATAAATAGAAATCACTATGTAACCTATTCCAAACAAACTATATAATAATCAATGTATATGATTCAAAAAATCAAAATAGAAAACTAGGAGATGTAATTTTTAGGCCTAAGTGTTAACATCTTATTTCTATCTTTATTTTTTCCACCTGATCTTTATTGTGAATTATTCTCCTTATGTTTAAGTTTAAACTCATAAAGAATAAAAAAGAAAGAAAAAAGTCTAAACCCATACAAAGTTTAACATTTGCTTCCTCATGATAAAATGAGAGAAGAATAAGGGTTTTCTTTTTG